AGAGAATCTTAAGCAGATTCCACACCCTGTGTGGAAGCTCAGTGCAGGTTATTGGGCTCCATCCCACAACCCTGAGATCATGATCTGAACCAAAATCAAGAGTCAGTTGCTTAACCGACTGAGCCACCTAGGCGCCCCAAAAGGCAATCTTTAAATTCAGAAAAATTCAGTAAGGAAAGGAAAAGGAATCCTAGGGCACAACAGGACGAACTGTGATTAGCATTTACATAGTCATAATAACAGCGAATACTGATGCAACCAAAACAAGAATGTAACAGTATCGAAGATGGAGAAAGGGAAGTGTGTGGAGAGGGGAGTGAGGAGAAAGAAAGCTCTTCCATAATGGAAATTCAAAAGACAATGCCTAAAACTGAAAACTAATAAGGGACAACACAGGCATGTTACTGGGACATATAGAGATAAATGCAAAAGAATCAGTTAAAATACTTAAGCCTGGTTGCCTTTGTGGAGGGGTGATGTATAGGATAGGGGGAAGCTATTGTTTTGAAGTAAGGCTTTTAGAGCTATTTATCATTTAAAATTGTAGGTATAATTTTACTAAAAAATGACTAAATTGATAATAACGGGAGTCCTTGAATTTATTACTGTAAAATCAACCAACACGTCAAATGTGTGCTTACATTAGAAACAAAACTGAAAAAATGGGGGGGAAAAGTCCTGACACTGTTTGATTAGGCCCTTGAGGCATTCTTTTTTTTTTTTTAAGATTTTATTTTTTCTTGACAGAGAGAGACAGCGAGAGACGGAACACAAGCAGGGAGGAGTGGGAGAGGGAGAAGGAGGCTTCCCACAGAGCAGGGAGCCGATGCGGGGCTTGATCCCAGGACCCTGAGATCCTGACCCAGGCTGAAAGGAGACGCTTAACAACGGAGCCACCCAAGTGCCCCAGTCCTTGAGACATTCTTAACTAGTATTTAAGAAATCATTTCACTTCCCAGACTCTCCTATTTCCAGATTTGGAGAGAGTGTGCTACATAGATGAGATCTGAGTTCCTTTGAAATTTGAGTCTATTTAAATGCAGTTCATTGAACACAGTAAATACATTTATGGACCAGCTTCTACATATTTTAATGTAAAATATTCCATTTTAAATGGGCCTCATTTTCAACGGGTACTTACTAATGGGGCTTGTTTTACTCGGGGACAGGATATTCAAAAGATCAGCCTAAATGATAGAAAAGTTCCGTACAGTATTGAATAGATCCAGCTATGACCAAATCCCATCTCACAAGTGAACTTTTGATTGACTGATGACTAGCCCAGCTAGGTGTAACTCTGTAGATATTCCATTACCTTTTGGATAACAGGTGGAAAAAATTATTGCAGGTTGAAGGTTTACAAAATGGTCTGGCTGATTCATATGGATCAGTAATCTGAAGAACGAACAAACAAAACCAAGCAGAAGCTATAGGTTATAATATTTTCCCCTCTAAATTAAAACTGGAGAAGTAAGATTGCAAACTGCTTTTGATTTATTCACCCTACAGCTAAGTTCTTTAAAAGATCTGAAGATGATACAGGGGGATTTGTCATCTTTAAATTTGGTACCTGGTCATAAAAATGGCCTCAGGTGTCAAGGTTATACTAGATGAAATAGTCCTTCCATCTGATACAGTAAGGCATGTGTAGTGAAATACACTTTCACTTACTTGATGGTTTATGTCAGTGGCTTGCAGCTGGGGGTGACTTTATCCCCTAAGGAACACCTTTGATTGTCTTCTGGATGGGGAGTTGTTACTGACATCTAGTGGGTGGAGACCAGGGCTACAGCTAAATGTTCTACAATTCAGGGGACAAGCCCTCACAGCAAAGAATCACCTGGCTCAAAATGCTAATAGCACCAAGGTTTGGGAAACCCTTGTCCACGCTAATTTTCTGGTGTTCAAAAAATGAAAGACAAAAATCTAGCAAATCTAGTGCCACCATTCTAAAATATTAGTAAAGGGTTTTCTGGTGCATCATTCAGGTAGAATTTTGAATATAACGCCCAGCTTTAAACTTGTGCTTAGAGGTAAAGTACAAGGTCAACTCTGGAAAATAAAGATTATGCATTCAGTCTGCTGCTGAATAGATTCCTTAAACTTCTCAAAATTTAATGTTATGATTTTTGACAGTGAAAACTTAATTTCTTCTATTTTAAAAAGTGTCCAAAGCAAATTACACTGCTCCCATTGGGGGTGGAGAAACTCGCACAGCGTTTGGCATGTAGGTGCTCAGGAGATGAATAAATGGTATACATCTATATGTTGGCCTGAGATAACAGAGGCCTAAGTTCCAGAGTCAGTAAGTTGTAAGGTGGCCTGAGCTGCAACTAGGAGTCCCTTCTTAGGGTGGAGGAGGAGGCAGCCGTCCATAATCCAAGTTAGGACACTCCCTTCACTGTGTTAGCACAACGGCCACAGTATAACTGGTAGACCAGTCTGCTCAACTACAAAGAAGTTAGAAAACCCACAAAGATTCGGGCCCAATAAGCCTTCTCTGTGAGCCAGAACTAGGTTACCCAGGTTAGTGCCCCTAGTTACCTTTTCCCAATAGGAAAAGTATCACAGGCTAAGGAGAATGAAGAAATTTGACAAAGGATAATAAAGTAAATGAAACAGGCTGGCTCTAAGTCTTTCTTAGAAGCAGGCATAATCATAGCTCTCTGGGTAATGGTCCTGGGAGGCTCTCTGGTTGGCCTTTAAAACAGTGCTGCTCTGGCAGGAAGCATGAATATTCTTTCAGGAACCCACGATGTGCCCTTGAAAGCAAATGTAGAAAAGATGTGTAAGGAAAGAAAAATTCTCCCTTCTTCCCTTCTAGGTTCTTTGGCTGGCCTAAGAATTAAACTGACTTAAGACAAATTAAGAGGAGAAAAACAAATTTAATTCTGTGCAAACAGGAGTGCATAGAAATATGAGACTCAAAGAAGTGACCAAGCAGGCAGCTTTTATACCTTTTGAAAAACAAAGAAACAATCACTTGTGAAGTACTGACAAAGGGGCTTGGGGTTGGGGTAGCAAATTAATGAAGAAGTGACAAAGCGGTGTATAGCCTTCTCAGGCCTGAGTTCCCTTTTTGGGTGATGAGGGTCCTTTTACCCTCTGGGTGCAGGGAGGGTCCCCTTCACATAGGGAATTTATTTCAGGGGGACCAAGGAGTGTCCTTCTTGTAATGGCTATTTCTTAAATAATTTTAATTTAACATAATCTGTATGCCAAAGTGGCATATTTTGCTCCCTTTCAGACCCACCTTTGAAACTGCAAGAAGATCATAATCCAGAAGCTAAGTTGGTAGATTCTTTTATGATTTCATTGAATTGATCTCTAAGTCTTGAAAATAGCTCAGTTCAGTTAAACAGTTGTGTCTCGTTTTAGGAGGTGTTGATGTAACTAGCCTCCCCACCTTAGGCCTACACTGTGCGAGAAATTAGGTGTTGAATAAGGCATTTCTATGGAAACAAACAAACAAACAAACAAAAAAACCCCAAAGGTTAATGATTAGAACAAATTATAAACCAGCTTCTGAGCCCAGGGGCAGCCAGTCAAGAAAATTTCTAGAAGTTAGGGTCAAAGCATCTTTTGCAATTGGAATGTCTCTGATAACATCACCAGGTATTCAGGTGAACTTTCTGAGTGGCACACACTGCAGCAGGCATGAAGACTGCCTAAACATGAGTTATTGTGGCCATTTCTCTGAAGTTTATATCAAGTTGGTCACCTTCAGTTTGCCAGGCTTTGGGGAAAGGGCAGTTTTTGTTTTTCACGATTCTAAGTCAAAAGTGGGAGAAAATTGGAAAGGTTCGTTTTGACAGCTATAGCCAAATATTGGAGGAAAGTAGAACTCAGGATCCAGTGGATCTTTCCATCTTACAGGTGGAAAACAAAACCTCAAACTAATTAACAGCACTAGAATCTGATATTTCTACAGTGTATTACTGAAACATAATTTTTTTGTCTATCAAAGGTAATCATGGTAAGACTAATTTGTTTGCAAATTAAATCTAATTTCAATACATTTGGCCCATTTACGTAAGTATAGCAAGAATAACAATTTTAATGAGATAGGCTCTTCTAAATCTGCTTTGCTGAAATTTTTCATAAGGAATCTCAGATGGAACTCTTAAAAGCTTCTCAAAGCTAGGAAGCCAAGCCAAGGACTTGCCATCAGACTTCACCTGCAATACCTATAAATCTGGGTGAATTCCTCTCTTCTCAAGGTCCCCAAAATATCCTGAGGTTCCTGAGTCTGCCAGGAAGTAACCTTCCTCACTCACCTAGTAAGGTTGCTAGGAACCCTGGAAGCAAGGTACTAGAACTCCTTTTCCAAAGGGCTTTGTTGTTTATTGGCTCCATAAAGTCAACCTTAGTTTCTTAGACTTGTGTGGTCATATCTGAGTCTATGTATAGCTCTCATATATGACATTCCAGTCAAAGCCTCAGTAATGTAACCAATGTTTCCACTCATGCTCATTATAAGAAGAGATTCTTATTGAACTTATGCAAATAACTGTATTTCCATAAAAATAAGAATACTCACTAACAGTTTTTAAATTATGGAGGCATGAGGTAGGGAGAAAAAGTAATTGTTTCAATTTTGCTTATAAAGGAATAATTAAACAAATTGCTGTAAATTATAGATAACTTAAGAGAAAAGAGAAGTTTTCCTGAAATCTGGAAAAACCAAACATTAAAAAAAAAAAAAACCAGCAATGTCCAAACAAAAAAGTCATAAATTATGATCATCTTCCTCAGTTGATTCAGTCCCACGTCATTAATATTTGTTCTGTTTGAATCCAGTTTTTTTGTTAGTTCTGGAAATTCTTACCCAGATCAGCGGGATGCTGTTAAAGTTATTAGAAACCTGTATCCTACAGTACTTGTTAGAGTCCATTCATGAATTCCCTTGAAGATGAAGCACTTTTGCAGGAAAACTTTTACAAAAGCATCCAAGTGAAACAATAACCGTCTGTAAATGATAAAAGACTTAAAAATGGCCATAAAGATCTGATAGAGTTCATTACAATGCAATTGACAAGAAAATCGGATTATACCTGGGACATACAACATTTTAAGATAATAACTAGGATTACAGTGATAACATTATCCTGGACATCTGATTTCTAGGAATTTCATATAATTTCTGGAACACTTGGATACCTGTACAAATACAACATAAAGAAAGCTTGATATTTCTTATTTGACAACACTTCCCATGTAATTTAGCATATCACATAAACCAATTCATTTAGGATCTCTTTTTTATAAAGAAAGAAAACAAATCTTTTGAGATGTTTCAGGGACCCTCTGGAAAATTCCAACTTACTTTCTTGGTCAAAAAGTTTATTTAGAAATTGATTTTGAAAAGTTTGTCAAAAATATCAAAAGGTTGGGACATTTGACTAAATAGGATCACAGATAATTTGAAATAATAATTATCTATTTAACCAAGTGACAAAAGATTTTAAAGGCAAATATAAAAGATTACATCGTTTTAAGGAAAATTCAGCTCTTAATGTTAAGACTCAGTTAAGTAATCAAAGATCTGATAAAGACAACATGAAGCACAGGAAATTACTTTAGTAAAACATAACATCTTTGCTTTCCAGGCAGATTACTTAAAAGGTAAAGAAAACCATTCATAATATCTTATCAAGAGCAGACTAATAGTCCAAGAAAACTTTGTCCTTTCAGCAAATGAAAGAAAATTACATTAGCAGGCTATTAAAACAAAAAAGCAAGTTTATTATTTTTAAAAACCCTTATAACAATTCAATTTTTAGCCAACGTGACTACAAAAGGTAAAATTTTCTTTCTTTCTTCTTTCTCTCTCTTTTCTTTCTTTCTCAAAAATTTTTTCCTTCCTTCCTTCCTTCCTTTCCTCCCTCCCTTCTTTCCTTCCTTCCCTCCCTCCCTTCTTTCTTTTCTTCCCTTCCTTCCTTCCTTCCCTTCCTCTCTGTCTCTTTTTCTTTTCCCAAACTTCTATGTCCTTAGTTTGTCCTTTATTTTTCTCTGTTCCATTCTGTAATGACTACTCTGAAATAACCAGCTTTACTTTAGGACAAAATTTATTCTTTTCCCTTAGCTAAAATACATCTCCATACCTCATACCTTTTCTTAGCTAAAAACACATCCTAGTTTCCTTGCAATACAGAGTTGTTCTTATTATTTCTAGTAGCTTTAATTTACATATATTAGAAGCTTCCTATAGCTGTATTCACAGGATGGTTCTCAACCTCCAAGGTTATCAGAAGCACCTGGAGAGCTGTGAAAACAGATTGCTGGGCCCCACGCCCAGTTTCTGATTCAACAGGTCTCAATGGACCTTAAGAATTTGCATCTCTAACAAGTCACCAGGTGATGCTAATGTTGCTGGTCCAGGGGCCCCACTCTGAGAGTCAGTCTCTATTACTTGGTTACATGCTTCTCTCTTCCACTGACTGTGAGCTTCTTCTTACACATCTCATCTCCAGGGTCTAGAATGTGTCCAGCAGTCATTTAATCAATCAACAAATACTTATTGAATGCCTATTATGTGCCAGGCACTATCATAGGCACTGGATTCATCAGCTTAAAAATTTTATATATTTATATATATATATAAAATTTATATACATATAATTTATATGTATATATGTATATACATATGAATGTGCATGTATATATATATATGTATATGTGTGTGTGTGTGTGTGTGTATTCCTGCCTTCATAGAGCTTTCTTCTGGTACTACACAGGAATTTCTCAATAAATGTTGAAAACTGATCAGTTGTAAAGAAGGAAATATGGCATTATCATGAAAATTTTCATAGTGCTTGAAAATATCAATTTTCCCATTTCCCAATCCTAGTTTTCCTCATTTTATGTTTCCCCCTTCTGATATCCCCCTCAACATCCAACACATAAATCCATAAACCTGACCTTATACCAGGCTGTGGGGTCTTAAGAAATATTTGCTGATTGATTTATAAAATATTTGATGTGGATGACATATCAGTTAAAAAAACAATTCTAACATGAATTTAAGCTTGTATAAATTATATATGGAAGCAACTGGGAGGATGTAAGCAAATCTCAGTATTTTCATATTGATAAATATTTTAGAATACTTTACTAGTTTTCGAATTAGCCTTAGTTATCTCTAAGGATATCTTTCCTCCCCTCTCAATATTTATGGCAGTTCTCGACTGCCTGGTATGAGGACTTTGAACTCCCAGTGGACCTAAGTGGACTGCTGTATAAACAGGGACATCAGCCAACATTTGGATTGTCCTGTGAACAATTCTGAGAAACTGGTAGGAGGCCTTGTGAGGCCATGTGGTGCTGTGGAAGGGTTGGGAATAACAGCAGAGGCAAATCTGATTATCTCTACATCGTCAAGGCAGGTGCTCCGCAGGATTTCCCACCCAGGCCTGCGGGCCATGGGCTATGCACTCCCTCCCTAACTCCAGGAAAGTGCAAAGCACATGCCTTCATCTTTGGACTAATTCTCTGAAAGTTTCTCAGGAAATAAAAATGAGAGGTCTCACAAACAGCAATTTGGAATGTAAAGGAATTGATCATAATGTTTACTTGAGATTTTCAGTATTCTTAAGGTTTACGAATATTTTTAAAGATCTTCCAAGCCATGAGACACTCTGTTAACCGTATGAAGGGAAAAATGGGCAGCATTTATAAATGGAATTTGACAAAGGGTAGTTTCAATATTCTAGACTAAAATATTTCCTCACCGTTAACATCATAAGCAAATTTGGTGTTGTTAGTGATTTCAAGAGTCAGTGATATCAAATAGCAATACTGCCTCAGAATAATATTCTCTTTCTACTCCTACCCCAAATCAGTGATTTAACACCCTAGTCCAACAAATCACTGTTATTTCTATATATCGAAAGATTTTTTAACAAATTAATAACGCTGTTAGGAATATACTTTTATAATGGGGATCAGGTATGCCACCTTCATTTTTTATGATTCAATCCTAATTAAATTCTGATTATTAAAAAGCTTTAGATGTAAATGTGAGCTATTGGTGAGCCATACACTGACTGAAAAATGGCCAGGTTATCATTTATTTCCCTGGAGCAGTTTCCTAATTATCACTTTCATAATCTGAAGGAATTAATATTTTTTAAAAGGTGTATAAGTTTCTGCTGAGATGTGACCTCCAGTGAACCAGCCCCTTTCAAAAAACTGGCTAATATAAAGATAAGACAGGGAGAAATTAACCTCTCCAGGTGATTAAATTTGTCTCATTAAATCATTGCTACCTCATTTAAGGTAATAAAAGAACACACCACCCTATTCTGGAAAACACACGAATCTAAACTAAATATATTCTCATTAACGTCATCCATATGGTAGTAATAACTTATCTTTCTTACAATTTTTCTCAGTTATTCACAAAATCCACCCTTATTTTCTGAGTTAACAAGGATGAATTTTAAAATGTGCAATGCAAATTCTCGAGGCCTCACTCCAGTTTCGACAGGACTTCTTAGTGGTTTCCGAGACACAGCTTTTTGTTTTGGTGCTGTTCTTCACCCGAAGGTAAGGGTCTCAACACACCATCTAGTGTTCAAGAATAACTTAATATTAGGAAAACTTCACTTCAAACACACAGGTATTAAAGTCATAGCGGTTGTAAGATCAAAATAATGCTTAAGTTAAAAAGGGACATTCATTTTATTTTATCTTCAAATTCTCAACTGTTGAAGAACAGATTCTAGATAACCCACCCAGGCAGTGCAGTGTCTGCCCTATTAAAAAGTGTATTCACTCAACTCTGTAATCTATACTTTAAAAGGGCAAATTAATGATATATGAATTCTATTGCAACAAAGCTGTTACAAAATTGAAAGAGATAGGAAGATTTTTTGTTGATATAAAACATTTGTTCAAAAATATATACAAAACATGACCTTGCAGTTCAGTGAACAGTCACAAAGCAAACCTACATTTGACCATCACCCAGGTCAATAATGAAAACATAGCCAGCAAAGCAGAAGCCTTCCTCTTGCCCTCTCCCTATCACAACTTCTCCTCCCAATCTCAGGACTGCTAAGGGCAGCATGTCTTCCTTTCCTTAGTGATCTAGGAACAATAAGCCCTGGATACGCATCCTTTATTGATTGTAAGTGGCAAATATCTCCTATTCTATGGCTCGCCTTTGTACTCTTTCAATGATATCTTTTGATGACCAGATGTTCTTAATTTTAACATAGATAAATTAATTCATCCCTGTATGGTTAGTGCTCATTGTGTCCTTTCCCTAGGAGCAGGGAATTATTAACTGACCCCCTAAAACACTGTTACTGAAAGCACATTCTCTAATCAGATCCATATATATTTTTCTTTCTATTTTTTCACTTTTTTTCCTGATTAATTTTTTCAAAAGATGGAGTAGGTAGGTATTTATTTTTTTCCAGATGGCATATAAAAAAACATACTACTTGAATAAATAAAGCTAAATTCAGAACACAAAAAATCAAGGTAACTGTATGGAAACTATAGAACAGAAATTATTTTCATAAAGACCTCTTCATTTCCTGATTTTTCAGGGTAATCAAATCATTGTTATTATCAAAAACTTTTTACTTATTATACTAAACTTCACAGCTCATATTTAAATATAATACTGTGGGGGTGCCTGGGGGGCACAGTCGGTTGAGCCACAGGTTTCTGCTCAAGTCGTGATCACAGGGTCATGAGACTGAGCCCCGTGCAGGGCTCTGCACTCAGCACAGAGTCTGCTTAAGACTTTCTCCCCCAGCCCCTCTGCCCCTCCCTCCCCGCCTCCTCTCTCCCCGCCGCCCCCCCCCCCCCCCGCCCTCTCCCTCCGGCCCGCCTGGGTGCTCTCTATCAAATAAATAAATAAATCTTTAAAGATGATACTTTATAGCAATAACTAATGTTCAAAATTATATACCTAAGCAATTGCAAGATCTCCCCAAGATGACATTACATTAAAAATATCTGTTAATATGCAAATAATAAAGCTCTGAAGACTAGTAATTCATTTATGGTGGCTGTGATGACTTTAGTTAGATTATTCAAATAACCCGAGGATTTCCATTCTCTGACCCTACAAATCTCTACAAATGTGCCTTTACACAAATTAAACATCCTCTAATTTGGCCCTATGGCCATCTGTATTAATTATACACATTTTTCCTTTCTAACTGTCCAACAAGTTTTAGTTTGGTATAGAGCATTGTTGTTTACTGTTTCATATACATTTAATTTATATATTCAATGTGTACATGATCATTTGTATTAAACTGCAGATTCTATAGGACTGATTATAAACCAGCACTTTCCATCGAACCTAGCATATAGTAGATACACAAATGTTTGTGAACAAATTGAATGGCAAAAATCTAACCTGCAAAAAGAACATGCTTATCTACGACCACAACAATTTCCAACACCTGATCACTAAAACTCGCTATGTATCCTTTCTTCTCAACAAAGTTAAGCTTAATAAAAGACTTTTAAATACTCACTCTCTTTGCTTTCAGGCTCATTTTGTTCGCGAACACAAGTTCCTGATGGATTCAGCTGCCACTGTAAAAGGGCACAAACGTTTTATATGTATGTTTAAGAAGGATTTAATAAATAGCATCTTAGCATCCTGCTGTCAAATATTAAAACTTTTTTTTTAAATGTAAGAATAAAGAGTTAGCATGTTCATACCAACCAAGCCCTAATAATGACCCTGAATGATATGACTTCTGGGATCAGAATCAATATTCTTAGAGAAGGAAGGAACTTTAAAATCCTTTACCTTCATTTTAGAAGTATGGACGTGGAAGACCAGCGAAGTGTAGTGACTTGCCCAGGGTTACACTCTGAGGGCAGCAATAGAATTAAAACCTGAGTCAGCCTGTGCTCAACACTATAGAATTTCCACCATTCCACATTCCATCTCCAGGTCCTACAGCATCTTATGATAGCTACAGAAGGCCTAGATATTAAAGAATGAAAATATGACCCAGATTATCTTGCCTTTTAATATAGTCATATCACACCATAGATCATATCATATCTCCTCTGATTTCAGTTTTCCGCCTCGACCATTCAGAAGGAAATGGGAAGCTTGAGGGTTCTCAGAGAGTACTGAGAAGCCTGGAGCAGCTGAGAAGAAAAACTATGTGTAATCAGTACCTAATGGCACAGCCCTTCCTTTCTCACTTGGCTAGAAGTCCCCATCATCAGAATCACTAATGACTTGACCAAAAAGGCCTCATTAGGCACTCTCTCTAGAGAGGCACAATTCAGTGTGCAGTCCCCGGAGTCTCTTCCATAAGCACCAGTGAGTTCAACAGATCAACCAGCTAATATCATGATCCTTGGGGGTGGAATGAGATACCAGACAAACATTTTGCCAGGTGTAAAAAAGTCTTTGGAAAGGAAGGACATCTAGAACTGGTTGGTCGCCTATAGAAATGGGAGCCCCAGGAAAAAGAGGATTTATAAGGGGTGGGAAATTATATATAAACTTAAAAAAAAAAAAAGACATCTTTCAAAACATGTCAAACCACTAAAATCTATTAATTTGGGCAAAGTAAGAACTAATAACCCTGAATGTATATTTAAGGATAATCATAAAAAGACTATTTCTAACTGTAAGAAACTTAGAAGCCATTTAGGTAACTCACAACAGGGGAATGGGTAAATAAGTTATATTTATATGTTAGAATATTGTTGAATCATTAAACATTATTTTTGAAGAATTATCAATGACACAGAAAATATAGCAACATGTTAACATTAGTATCTATGAGTTATCAGAGAATATTTGTTCTTTTTTATGTTCCTAGTCCTCTATATTGAGCATATATTACTTTCATAATAAGAAAAAAGTAATACAGGGGCGCCTGGGTGGCTCAGCCGGTTAAGTGTCTGCCTTCGGCTCAGATCATGATCCCAGGGTCCTGGGATCGAGCCCCGCATCGGGCTCCCTGCTCCACAGGAAGCCTGCTTCTCCCTCTCCCACTCCCCCTGCTCGTGTTCCCTCTCTCACTGTGTCTCTCTCTCTCAAATAAATAAATAAAATCTTAAAAAAAAAAAAAAGTAATACAACCTAATAGAGAAAAATCCACATGTATCAAATAGAAAAAAAAGTTTCTGAATAAATGGACATGGGCCTACACTGGTAAAATCTATTCCTGAAAATACGGTTGCTCAGCCCTAACCTAGTCTGCAACAATCCCACAGAACAGAACCAATTATCACAAGGTATGCGGCAACTCCTCAAAGAGAAAAGCAAAACTTTTCAAACAAAATTAATTTCAATTTGCTTTAATCTTAAAAATATCATTTTTGGGGGGTGTCTGTGTGGCTCAGCCAGTTAAGCGTCTGCCTTCGGCTCAGGTCATGATCCCAGGGGCCTGGGATCGAGTCCTGCATCGGGCTCCCTGCTCAGCGGGGAGCCTGCTTCTATCCTCTGCCTGTCGCTTCCCCGGCTTGTGTTCTCTCTCTCTGACAAATAAATAAATAAAATATTCAAAAAAATACCATTTTTTGGACACTCCTATACCACTCTTGACAATCTAAAAATAAGTATAATCATTACTGACATTCAAATTTAGAATGAATATTAGTTCATGTTAGTCACTGGTATTTACAAAACTAGGCATTTAGCGAAGCAGGTAGTTGAAATCATTTACATAATACTGCAAACCAGGCCAGAGGAGGGACAGGATGGGAAGGTGGAGAGAGCTGTCACTGGAAGGAGCACAGAGAAGAACCATGTGCACCTGAGTGGGGTACTCCTGGCGGGTCTTGGCTCATCTCTGCCCAGGGGACTCATTCCCTCTGTTTCTGTCACTGTATCTTCCTTTCTTCTGGTCTCTTCATGCTCTTTACAGTGGCAAAGCTACTCAAATCCACCAGTAAGCAACATATTTCAGAATTCACTTAATCTGTCAGTCACAGTCCTGAAGAGCTAGATCATTTCATCTTTATGGAGAAGTTGTGAAAAACCTATTTCTTCCCACTCCTCAGGAGGAATGAAGACACAGAAAACAAAAACAAAGAACTGGAGATTTCCCTTTGACTAGCTGGATGTAAGCTTCTGTTTACTTTTACAAAAGAGGCACCTCTCCCATCTCTCCTTTCTTTCAGGGCCCTCTTTTTCTTTTAAAAATCACGATAAACTTTAAATAAAACTGGAAATAAAAAACCAAAAATAAATGACAAAAATAAAAAGGGTAAACATTTATGATACTTCATACACACACAGAAACTAGACAATATGTTTTATAGTTTTAAACTTTTAAATATAAATTAAAAATATAAATATATAAGTACGTATACATATATATAGACAGTTTAAAAAATATCTTTTTGGTGCCTTATATGTTCCAGGCACTGTGGACTCAAAACAGGAATGTAGACTGGAAATTTTTTTTAAGATTTATTTATTTATTTTAGAGAGAGAGAGTGAGTGGGGGGGGGAGGGACAGAGGGAGAGAATCTCAAGCAGACTCCCTGCTGACGGCAAAGTCCAACATGGGGCTCAATCTCATGACCCTGAGATCATGACCTGAGCCGAAATCAAGAGTCGGTTGCTTGACCAACTGAGCCACCCAGGTGCCCCAGGTGTTTATAAACTTGAAATTTATAAACAGTTATATGCCTTTTATACCTACTCCAAGTTCTTTTATGTAAGTGTTACATTAAATGCCAGAATTATTATTAAAAAGCAGCGTATGATTCTGAGCAGGATCCTTTTGCTCTATAGAACACTGGGACAACTGGTGAACTTTGGAACCTGAGGATGAAACAGCAGTAATGTATCAATGATAATTTCCTGAGTTTTGTTGTTGTATTATGGTTTTGTAGGAAAATCTACTGTTTGAGGAAATATATAACAAACTATTTGAGAGTGATCTGGTTATCAGGTCAACAAGCTACTCTCAAAGGTTTCTGGGGAAAAAAAAGTTCTTTGTAGCATTTTTGTAACTTTTCTGTATGTTTGTGATTGTTTCTAAAAAGAAGTTTTTAAAAACCTACATAGTGAAATAGTTAAAGTTCTAAGTTTCCCATGAACTATCTCAGTACTTTTTTTGAAATATCAAATATTAAATCCCTTCTTTTTCTGATTTTTTCCATGAGAAATGTGTCATGAGTGCACGTGTGCGTGCGTACGTGTGTGTGTGTGTCCCTGTCTTTTGGGTAATCCTAAACTATTTTCACCTCTACCACCCGAACACCAGAAGAGCGAGGGAAGAGGTGGGTCAAGGATTTTCTTTTGTTAGCCACCAGAGGGCACCAAAGGGACGATTAATTCAAGATCTGTAAGGTCAACTCTCTAGAGACATATAAATTCATTAAGACAGAGATTTTAAGCTGAACATTTGTAATTAGGTGAGTGCTTGCACATAAAAACAAACTCAGTGATAACAGTTTAAAGTGTGGGAATCACTAATTTAAAATATTCAGCAGGGTACCTAACAATATAATAGAAAGCATACTTGAATAAAATGTATATCTACTTACTGTAAATTTGCTAACACCCTCAAGTTCCCCAAATCTCATGTAAGAGATGTCTGCCTTCTTTTTTCCAACATCTACATCCCCGGCATAGATCTGTTTTATGCCTGCACCTTTAATTAAAGGTACACACTCATCACATGGGCACTTTGTGACAAAAATCATAGTTCTTTCTTCTGGTTTTATTTCTTGACACCTACAAAAAATTTATAAATATTAGAAAGGTATCTTCCAAAAGGGGAGTTATATTTTAGAGAAATCCTTAAACACTAAAATTGAGCTGATTTTAGAACAGATTTACATTATAAACAATAATAAACTTTATTCTTGCCGAATTAGTGAATATACAAAATATATAAACTCATAAAATGTTAATATACAATCTGAACATGACAGTTATTATAATTAAAACTCATTTATTTATTCTAAGCAATCAGTAAGATGCTCGGTATTAGATTATAAATAAAAACGGGAAAAGACAGACACTGAAAGAGAGGGAGGGAAGGAGAGCAAGAACAATGCTCTCTACATGAAGAACTTTATAATGCCACAGTTAGGGGCTAGAACTAACATCTTCCTTATGCGTTTACCGTGAGAGATTAGACATTAGCTCATCACAGGAGCCAAAAGATCTGACCCTTATCTAGTACCTACTGGATATTTAATAAATGCTTGGAATAAATTAAGGTAAAAGAAAACGAATTTCAACTAACCCTTGCTACATTTTTTTTTTAAAGCCTTGCTACGTTTTCAAGAAAGACATGCAAATGAATTTCATACCTAAATGTCAAGGCATTCTGCTCCGCATGTACAATGTATCTGAATTTCCTTATTTCTCTGTCTTTCTGTTTGTCATCCATGTGTGGGAAGTCAGCATACTCAGATCCAACAGGAAAAGCATTATAACCGCATCCTATTAAGTACATTGCACCTGTACCATCACAACTTCTCTGTGATAGTGAGCAAACCAACAAAGGTGAGTTGTCAACATTCTAAAAAAAGGCACTTGGCAGTGTATTTTAAAGCCTCGTATCATACTGTATATAACTAATTCCATTTTCTATGACCAAAAAAAATACAATCTTACATCCTCCTACTGCAGTATGGTCTTGTCAAAGCTAAATTCCAAGAAGACCGATCATTTCTAATATACAATCTCAAGGCAGTCCTTGGTTTTGGCTGTTAATTAAACATTAGCTTGTTTAATTCACAAATTACTTCACTTGATTCAGACATCTCTCCCCAAATGGGTTATAAGATCCTAGAGAACAGAAACATGTTTTATGCCTCTTTTCTATGCCTTAAAGTACACCTGTTAGAGTGTCCCATACATAATAGGTCCTCAATAAATAATTGTTAATTTGGTATATGCTGTTTTCTACTGGTTAACAAGTCAGAAATTGTAAAAATATTTTGAACATCAAAAACTAATGATGTATAGTGATTGACAACATAATAATAAAAAAAATTTTGAACAATTTCTACTATTGAACTAAAACTTTGCTATTGTGATAGTTGAAAAATAAAAAATGTGCTTTCCTTTTTAAAATTTTTTAAAAGAATTTTACTTATTTATTTGAGAGAGACAGAGCAAGAATGAGAGAGAGAGAGAGAGAGAACACAAGCAGGGGGAGGGGCAGTGGGAGAGGGAGGAAACAGATTCCCTGCTGAGCAAGGAGACAGACTCTGGCCTAGATCCCAGGACCCTGGGATCATGACCTGAGCTGACACCCAACTGACTGAGCCACCCAGGTGCCCCCACACAAAATGTACTTTCCTTTAATCTTCATATTTATTGAGGCTCTCTTGTACATTTATATATATATATTATATGCATATAATATATATATTTATAATGGAACTTTTTACTTAAGTGGCTCTTTTTTAAGTCTCATAGTCAATGGCATATTACATATAATATGAATGCTTTATCAGTTACTAGAGTGAACTATTTTATAAATCATAAGTGTTTATAGTAATTTAGAATATGCCATAAACCTCAGTAAATTTCAATATATTATATCTATTCGTGTGATAGTTTCAAAAGACTCATCAGTATGGCAACTCGATAAAAATCATTGTTATGATGAGCCAACAAAAGCTTACAAATAAAATGTTATCTCACTGGTAATAATAATAAATTATTATTAAGCATTTACTACATGTCAAACATCATGCTGAGTTTTATATGTATTATTTCATTTAATCACTCCTCACAACAACCTTGACAGTAGTACTATTAGTTTTTCCATTTTACAGATAAGGAAACTGAGGCCCAGAAAGATTAAACTTATCTAGGGTCACAATGCTAGCAACATAGCCAGAATTCAAGCCCAGGTTGCTGGACTCCAAACCCATGTCTTTCTACTTTACCATGCTGCCCACTATAGTTAGCTTGACTGGAAACTTAAATTCTTACAAGCACCTGAGAACCAGAGGTTAAGTCAAAGGCTGCTGGGCATTCATATAAACACAAATGAGAGTTCCAACCATAGGCCAGGCACTGTGCCAGGTGCCAGGAATATAGCTATAAATAAAACAGAGAATCCTGGCCCTCATGAACCTTATAATCTGGAGCTAAGAAATTGTGCATATAATTTCAACTGTGATGAGTGTCACAAAAAAGTTGCACAGAATGCTATGGGAGTTTTTCGTGGAGGAACCTATTCTGGTAGGTAGTAATAGTTGGGGTAGAGATAAGTAGAGTCAGGAGATCTTTTGAAGGTGGAATCCATAGCACTTGGTGGTTGATTATATGTGTGTAGTAACAGGGAACGGGATGGTGACCACCGATGAAGGAATAGGTTAGCAGGGAAGATACTAGATTGTTGGCCAGGTTAACTTGAGGGGCTATGATACATCCAGGAAAACAGTCAAATTACTTGCTATAAAGTCTAGTGAGGCAAAACCTAGACTCCCTACTCATCTTTGAGTCAGCCTTACAGTTACTAAGTGTCTCTTGATTCCATGCCCTTCCAACCCACCCCTGCAACTCCCATCCTCATCACCTCCTTTTTATTAACTCCCTATTTGCTGTGTAGCCCCACTTCATTCCCCTTATAATGTAAATCTGATCAAATCATTTTCCCACTTAAAATATCCTTGGATTGCACTCTCCAATACAGTAGCCACTAGCCACATGTGGTTATTCTGAATTGAGAGGTGCTGTAAGTGTAAACTACACACAGGATTATGGAGAGTTAATACTCCCCCAAAATGCAGAGTATTTTATTAATAGTGTTCATATTGATTACATGTTGAAATAATATTTCTGGGCATTTGATTAAATAAAATATATTCTTAAAATTAATTCACCTGTTTCTTTTTATTTTTTCAATGTGGCTCCTAGAAAATTTACAATTATGTATGTGACTTACATTTTACTTCTACTGGTTAGCACTAGAGTATCCCACTGTTGGAAAGATAAAGTTCAAACTCTTTACATGGTATACAAATTTCTTCATGGCCCCGTCTAATTTTTTGCTACTCTACTATATAGTATGGTACGTAGAGTACATACGATACACCAAATCACTTGAATTTTCCCACATTCTCTCTCATACCCCCACCTCTGCATATTATCATCCCAGTCATACTAGTTTACTGTGCCTGATGCCTTCCTATGCATTCTTCAAGACTAATAAATAGCACCTTAGCTTCTCCAAGAATATTTTATTCATTTCTCCAAGCAGCATAGAGATTCTTCCTCCATGCTCTCCCAGTGTCATGTTACAATTATCATTATATGCTAGTCTCTTTTTTGTTCCACTGTCTCCATTAATAGACTAAGGCCAGCAAGGGCAGAAAATGTGGACCTTAACTCCCCACTGTCCACTGTGGCACAGTGCCTATGCTGTGGAAGATGTTTAATATAAATGTTTGCTAAATGAATGAATCTATCTAGACAATTGTTGAGGGAATGATCAAATGTTTATAAAATTTAGTAAATGCACCAATACAAAATATTAACCCCAATGGGTCAAAAAAATGTAATGCACTTAAGATCAAACGATGTTTAAACAAAATCAAGATTAAACGTTTAGAGAATTGTTTTCAGGGGTGCCTGCCTGCCTCAGTCAGGAGAGCACACAACTGTCAGTCTTTGGGTCATGAGTTCGAGCCCCACGTTGGGTGTAGAGATTTCTTAAGCAAATGAAAACTTTACAAAAAAAAGGAATTCTTTTCATACTTACAGATTTTCCTTCTGCCCAAATGACTGCTCCAACTCCAGTTTTATGATCCTCTGAAAGATAAATGTCATTTAACTCAGTAAAGATCAAAAATTTGTTAGTTTCAGAAATACTTTTCCAAAAATAATACATATTATTGAAACATAATTCATAATGTGGCAACAATCCTTGACATCTTAACTAATTTATAGAATTTTTTGGGCGCCTGGGTGGCTCAGATGGTTAAGCGTCTGCCTTCGGCTCAGGTCATGATCCCAGGGTCCTGGGATCGAATCCCACATCGGGCTCCCTGCTCAGCGGGGAGCCTGCTTCTCCCTCTCCCTCTGCCTCTCTCTCTCTCTCTGTCTCTCATGAAAAAATTTTTAAAAATCTTAAAAAAAAAGAAATAAAGAAATAAATACATTTTTATTACTAAATAAATTATTTAGTAAAAATTTACCACTAAAATAAATATTTTAAGCATGGAACATGCAACTAGGTGCTAAATAACTAGGCAATGTCACTATCAACCCAGACACATGATCTATATGCAGAGCTCATTAAAATGGCAGTACCCACAATCAGCTCACTTCGAAGCTGTAACTAGAACAGAGTGTAATTTTATAGATTCTCCACTAAGTCAGCTTCTAAAAGGTTATTTCTAACAGATGATGAAAATGATTTAAAAGGAAATTTCCAAACTAATGGATTTAATGTAACAATAATTCACAACACTCAAGTCTGTCTTCTACCATTTTTTTAACAGTATAATCATGGAAAATACATTTCGTGGAAATGTTCTTGCTAAGAAAGAAGTTCAAACTTATAATACAAAAAACAAGTTTTTATGGGCTTTCATATATATACATACATATATATATATATATATATATATATATATATATATGAAAGTCCTTTCCCTGACCTTCAGAGTTTACCTGAAGGGGAAAAGCATGCCAACTTAGTGAATGATGCTCATTTCTGAATCAAGTGGCAGAAGTTATAAACATGAGATTATAATTTCCCTGCAGAACCAAAACCTCTGCAACAAATAAAGCTGTATTTCTTAAAACCATTATGAAACAGAAAGCTTTAAAAAACCAAAATAGAAATTCTGCATATCAAGGATTGACTTTTTCTTTCTACTAATACAAGGGTAAGTTTCAAATTTCTAAGATAATTATACACTAATGATGAAAACTATGAAAACAGTATTTATCAAAATCTTAGTAAGGGACTGATGTAGTTAATTAAGTAGGTACACTTACACAGAGACAGTACCAATCATCTGTGAACTTACTCTAGGGCACTTTCATATTGGTAAGGATTAAATGAAACTGTAGTTTCACCCTACAATTTCCTAAAAGTTAATCCCCCCCCCAAGGATAACTTTACCCTACCTAGGCATTAAAAACGAGTTTGCCTTATAAATAAGTTTTAGAAGTTATGATAACATAATGAAATCCCCCATCTTCAGTTCAAGTAAGCTCGAGTTTTCAAAATTATATCACAAAGCATCTGTGTAATTTATTTGAAGCATTTTTTACCCCGTCATCTAATTTTTACCCTAAAGGTAGAGCAGCTATTTCCTTTTCTAGATGAGAAAACAGGCAAAGAAATCAAGTGACTAAAATTTAGCCCTCCAGACGAAACCTACCCCTCCCTTTGATGTTAAGAATTTCATAACAAAGATTTCCCTCTACTGAATGTGCAAGTAGACAGCGTGAGGGAAGTCCCTGTATTCATGAAATGTATAGTCCGATGTGGGAGGGAGACAGGAAGAAGCAAACACAGAAGCACCTGTGTGCTGTGCTGTGCTAGGAAGGAAATGAGGAATGGAGGGTATGGGAAGCCTTCTTCTAGAGTGGAGATTCATGAAAGAGATTTTGGTGTAAACAAAATTTTCTTCCTTCCAAGACCTTCAGAACACAACATGAGGGGAAAAGAATACAATTATGGCTTTACGCTCATTTCTAAGGCAAGTGGCAGAAGTTATAAACATAAGATTATATTTGCCTGAAAAACCAAAACCTTTAAGTAAAATTATCCTTAATACATATATAAACCTGAAACAAAAAAATGAGAGACTGAAATAGAAATTCTTCATATTAAGTTAAGGGCCTATTTTTCCTACCATCGACACAAGTGTTTTTCACGTTATGTTTTTTTAGTCTCAGGAGCCACTTTTCCTGTTTCAGTCTGGGGACAGACTAAAACCTTGTCAGGAGGGGGAAAATGTAATTTTCCATCAGTATGTAGCTCTCCTGCCTAGCTAAGTTTAGTTACACCAACAGAATATTCTTTACTCGGTCTTTTAAAATCAGAATAAAATTTCATCCATGTTAGATGGAGTAGATTTCACACAGCTCCAAGGCTGGATGACAGATGAGGTAATTTCTCAAGAATCTTTTCATGTCTGTAATTTTTACAGAAATTGCTCCCCATGATCTGTTCATTCACAAGGTTTTCTCTGTATACCTTTGAAGGAAAGGTCAACTTATAATCACTGAGCTAAACTCCTGAGACTCTGATCACTGAAAGTCAGAGAACTCTTTATCCCATGGTTCTGGAACACAGGTGTGGTTATTTAGCTCCTGATTCTGTGGTCATTTGTCCGAGTGTGGTCCACAGCCCACTTCATCAGAATCACTGGGTGCTTGCTAAAAGGGAGGCCTCCGGGCTCCCATGGAAATCTCCTGAAGCAATCTCTCCAAAGCAGTCAGGCAGGGCCCAGGAACCCGCATTTTTCATGAGCATCCCCTCTGATTCATAGGCACACTACAAGCTGAGAATCACCAAGTTATGATTTGAAACAGTTAACTTTTGTGGCTACTCCAACCTACATTCATCATCAATGTCGTGGTTTAGGAGGAAGGCATAATCCTCAGCTTTGGAAAACACATAGTCTAAGGGAAAAGAGGACCCCAAAAAATCACACTTGAATCAGATAGATAAGATGCAGTGCCCTCCTCTTTCTTCCCCTCTAGAGTCTAAATGAACATTGTTACTTTTTTGCTACTTCAAAATGTCCTTTATTGACATCTCTGTGGCTCCTATTTACTCATCATTCAAAAAGCAATTAATAAGCACCTACTTCTTAGTTACTTTTAGAATTCTGTTGTTAGAGGTTTTGGAATTCATTTTACTCATACGTATATTTTTAAATAAAATGGATTAATGAAATGGTGTCTTTACCTCTAGAGTGAAATAAAGTCTTCAAAGAAACTGAACAGCGTGAAATTAAAAGTCTGAGTTATTAGGAGCACCCTCAATCATGAGGATATCTACCTTGCCGGATTATCCTCAGTGTTAAATGAGATACATATATAAATTGCCTGGCTCTGTGCCTGACACATTCTAGGTGCTCAATAAATTGTCATTGTTATAATTTATCATCAGTGAAGAATACAGGTCCAGAATTCCTTACCAATCCCTTATATCAAGTGTTTTTTGGGACAGCCTGATGTACTTATTTTGTGGCCACACCTGACCAAATATTTAGTGCAAATACTCATACATTTTACTCCATATGTACGTGCTTGATGACAATGTACTCTGCCTCAGGGCCCCCCTGGAGTGCTGTGTAATATACAATATATGTAACCATATTACCTTTCTAAAATCTGACAAATTCTGGACTCCTTTCCATCTGGCTCCAAGAATTTTGGATAAGGATTGTGGACCATCTACCTTTGGATGTAAAAAGATTTCCTTTATCCATTCAACACACTGTGCTTAGTGCTAAGGAAAAAACGATGATGAACACATGGTTCTCTTCCCTGGAAGAGTGGACAGTGGAGCGGAGTGCATGCCAGAGAGTTGCATTCCATTCAAGATTTGGGTTCCAGGCAAAAAGTCATACACAATAAAAAAATTAACCTTGAAAAATCTTTTAAGTTATCCATCAAGAGCAGAAGCACACCTTTATGTACAAAACTCTGCACAGAAATAGTGGATAACTTTATAATTAGAGTATATTATAAAGAACATAGATGCATATTTGTATCTATACATTACCACATCTTTAAACACTGGAATCATACATGGTATGATTCTCCTATGAGAAGCAGGAGGTACTGAGATCAAGTAAAAGAACAGCACATTCCTATCTCACTCTGGAATCAGCTGAATTCTTATTAGCAAAGGGGAATTAGTGAATTATAGCCGTAACAGCTATACCCATTTATGTTTCTGTCCTTCCAGAATGGTTTTAGAGAAAAATTCTTTATAAAGCTCGTTTTGGCCAAGACACTAATGCATAGCCCACGATACAACATAATGACATTAAGTCAGACTCTTACACAAGAGTTGTTTGGAGTCATATAGTTTGCGCCTGTAGTAGAACCAAATTCTTTAATAAGAACTGAGTGATTATTAACCCTGCTGAACATCAGAGTCCCTTGCAGAACTTTAAAAATTCATTAGCTAGGCCACATCCTTACGGACTCAGTTCAGTAGGTCTGGGTTGGAATTTAAGCCTTTGTACTTTTAAGAAAATTTTAATGGTGATTCTGATATGCTGTCAGTTGAGAATCTCCATTCTACTGAAAGTACTTTGATTGTGGTCTTTGTTTAGAATGCAGACTAGTGGCATTTGTATGGACCTCTTCTTAAGATTTTCTTTCTTCTCCTTCTTTCTTGGGAAAAGCTAAAAAAAAAAATCCTCCATTCACCAAATTTTACTCTACTGCTCCTCCTGCCTATATTTCCCCCCCCGTACTTCAAAGCTGCATTTAAAAAAGTGATCAAGATTCTACTTTGAAAAATCTTACCTCTGGTAATATGTGAAAACATTGTTCTATAATTGGAAATACAGATGTCATCTTTCAACACAAAAAAGAAAATTCCCAAGTAACATTTTCCTTTTTCACATATACCCTCATGCTCAACTTAATAAAGTAAAAACGTCTGATTTCTCAACTTGCTGATTAAAGATATACCAGCAATTGGAAGAATTTGTCAATATTCCTTTACTTTAATGCTGTTATTTTGAATTCGTATTTTTATTGTAAAGATTTTTAAAGTTTTTATGAAATACTGAATACATACAAAATATTGAAGAGTTAACTAAAAATTAATGATTTTGCTTCTCTCTCCTTTCTCTTTTTGTCCCATCTCTAGTGGAGGGCTCAGTGATCAACGAGATGACAAAAGCAGGAAGCAGAAGGGCCTAGATAATCAGGCCCTGATTTATAAATGTAGCACTGAATATAAGGCCACAGAAACCCAAATACTGCTCTAAGAGGTGTCTACTTAAGGATCTCACTAACTTCTACACATATAATGACCAGCAAAACTCTACTATCTAAGAGTAAATGAACTCTACGATATATGAGATGAATACCATTTTACTTCTGAGACAAATACAACCCAGTCAGCCCCAATTTATGCACTAAGCATATAACTCACCAGTTCGATATGCCAATAACCTGGCCTGAACCATGCAGTGCCTTGCAATTTCTTGTGGCAAACTTTGATTGTGAATTTCATTAATCTGTTCGGTATTACCACAATAAAATCCGTAGTGCTTAAAGTTGGGCACACTGGAAGCTACTGTGGCCAAGAGTAGGATAAGGTCTTTCATGTTTTGCCTTAGATTGCTAAAGTATGGATTTTCACATAGGTTCTCCAAGCCTATAGTCATCAGTATTTGCTTATGCATTTCTTCATTTGAAACCAAAAATAACATTTCATATTCCTTTATTCTTTCTTGTTTACATTCAGAATAAAAGTCAACGTTAGCATCCGGCAATGTTTTTGCAATTTTTTGAATAAAGTCACATTTGTAAGAGGTCTCCTCTACAAACTGCACCATATAACACACCAAAGGCTGAAGTAAGACACACACATGGGCCCGACTGTTTGACTTCAATCTTTCCACTGCTTTGGCATCTAACTTGGCATCTTCAGAACTAGAAGCCTCAGTAAGCAAACTTATTTCTGGATCAGCAGGCCAGTATGAAATTCGGTTAACTCCAGCTGAAATATAAAATATGAAAGGCAGTTATCAGACACATGTTGAAATTAAGGGTTTTCTTGATAAGTCCACCATATCATTGTGGTAGATCCAGAGGTCCCAATCTGATAAATGTCTATTATGAAGTCAACTATAATACAGCCCAAGGGTTGGCAAACTATGGCCCACAGGCCAAATCTGTCCCATCGCCTGTTTTTTTTTTTTTCTTCCCAGCTTGCAGGTTAAGAATGGATTTTATAGTTTTGAATAGTTGGAAAAATCAAAAGAATAGTATTTTGTGACACATGAAAATTTTATGAAATTCAAATTTCAGTGTCTATAAATAAAGTTTTACTGGGACACAGACTCACCCATTCATTGACATAGTCTCTGGATGCTTTTGCCCTACAATGGAGTAGCAGAGTTGAGTACCTATACAGACACTATATGGCCTGCAAAGCCTAAAAGATTTGCTATCTAGCCCTTTATGGGAAAAGATGGCTGACCCCTAACAAAGCTCATGGAAGGTATTTGTGGAATCAAATCACGGGCATTGCTCAGTGTGGTCCCAAAGCCCAGTGCCACAACTGGAATTCCCAGTGCCGGAATCTTAAAAGTAATCAAATGGCTGTTTTTAGAAATATCATAGCAGTCAACTGATATTGTTGAGAGTTTCGTATTTGAAATAAACAATTCATCCATGCATTAAAAATGAACCTATGCTCTGAATTCTTCCTCTGGGAAGCTATTCTAAAAAAAAAACAAAAAAAATCCTAAATAGAAACAAACAAAAAAATCATGCATGCATATATCTAGTGCAGCACTGTCTAAAACAGTAAAAACATAGGGGTGTCTGGGTGGCTCAGTCAGTTATGTGTCTACCTTTGGCTCAGGTCATAATCCTGGGGTCCAGGGATCGAGCCCTCGTGTTGGGCTCCCTGCTCAGCAGGGAGTCTCCTTCTCCCTCTGCTCCTCCTCCTTGCTCGTCCCTCTCTTGCAAATAAATAAATAAATAAACAGTAAACATAGGAAAAAAACCTAAATGGCCAAAATAATGTGAGGGCAGCAGTTTATGTGTGTGTGTTCGGGGGTGGAGAGCAATATCAATTTTTTAAGCCCACAAAATTAAAGACAAAATGATAAACTAGAATTTTCAATTAATGTGACAGGTTAGTAATCTTTAATATACAGAAAAGATTTTAATTTATTAACAACACATATGAATTGACAAGAACAATACGGCCTCAAGACAGACAAAACAATATGATCAGACAATTTGCAAAAGAGAAAACAAAACTAAATAACAAACATGAAAAAAATCTTTTGTATTCGAGACGGAACAATGAGATGACTTATACAGGCTTAAGCACCCAAATGTTCATCAGTTAATTAGTATTTTACAAAGAGACCCATTTGCTAGTATCTCCTGCAGTTTCAGCTAGGAGACATTTTTATGATTATGTCCAGAAGGGAAAAGACAGAGGGCCCACAGGGTGTCCTGCATTCAAAGTAACAGATGAATTGAAAAGTCTTAGTTGAATAAACCCACATTTCTATCTACTCCCTGCTCCTCCTGACTCTTACTGTAGCTTGGGTTATAAATCAGTTTTGAAGGCCTGAAAGCTAGTATCAGAATGTTTCTTCTGGCTGCATGTCACCTTCCCTCTGTTGGAGTTCTCACAATCCATTTCCTACTCAGTGGTGATAGTCCATCTTTCATCTAAGCATCTGGCTTGCTTCTAGCAATCCTGATGCAAGGAGAAGAGGGGATGACTAGTCTTTGAACAAATGTTCATGTAGCAGTGGCAAAGGCTAGAGCAGGCGTTTTCAAATTTTTTGGTCTCAGACTCTGTTACACTCTTAAAAATTCATAAGAACCCCAAAGATCTCTGTTTATGTAGATTATACCTACGGATATTTACTGTATTAGAAACTTAAAACAAATTTCAAAAAATATTTATTAATTAAAAATAACAATAGAGAATCTACTACACATTAATACAAATAACATGGTTTAATAAAAAATAACTGTTATTTTCCAAAACAGCAATGAAAACTAGTTGAAAAGAATGGCATTGTTTTAAATGTTTACAAATCGCTTTATTATCTGGCTTAATAGAAGACAGCTGGATTCTCAATTCTGCTCCTGCTTTCAGTCTGTTGCGATACGTTGTTTTTACTGAAGTATATGAAAAGTATCAGGCCTCACACCCATGTATGGTTAAAAAAGGAGTATTTTAACAACATTTCAGATAACTGAATATTCTTCTTTGACACTACGTAAAAATTTGACAAGGGATAATTTCTTAAAAGTTAGTTACAATGTGGAATCTGAAATATATCAACAAACTTTTTGTATAATTATGTTTTAAGTCCACTGGTTTATTGCGCAACAGTCTCTACCAGGCCTGAAAATAGCCTAATCACATCAGTCACAAAAAATCAGTTGGTAAAAACTCCTAGTGCTGTTTCAAAAGTATACAAGGCCCTGCATTCCTTGGCAGAGATAAGGAGCCCAAGAACCCATCCTGTTTATATCAGCTCTAGGTGCATGCCCGTAGGCCCTTCGCCTTGTCTGAGGGTTACCTCTGCCTCATGATGTTAAAATCTCTGCCCGAGGAGGAGTACAACCCTCATTAACATAATGTATAACGTAAGGCTTGTTTCCTTAAAACCAGTGCACAACCTTATGCTCGCCTTTGTATATGATGACAAAACCCCCCTTTCTGAATATTCATCCCAACCCTAAATAAAAGGAACCCATTCACCCAGCTCAGGGAGTCATGGATTTGGAAGTTATTCCCCATGATCTCCTTATTTGCTGCAAATAAAGTTTCCTTCCTTTTGGAGTGACAACTCCACCTGGTGCAGCTTCTATCTGTAACTCACCAAGGAGCCAACATGAACCCATGTTAGTTTGGTTACAATAACTCAAACAACTGCACACGTAAATGGTTTTCCTTAAGGCAACCTTCATACTTAGATTTGTAGCAAAAGTGCTTTAGGTCCACCTCCTACTATTTTTTCACACAGAATATTAAAAAGATGTGTACTCAAGGGTTGGGATTTATTAAAATTAATTTTTACTGTTTCATCAAGGGCATTCTTACATGAAACCCTCTTTTTAACTCCCAAGTTTATGGCCATAAAGAGTACAAGGACTACTACTGTCTTGATTCATAATACAGTAGTTTTACTCACCATTGTTTGGTACTATTGGTATAAATGTAGTGTTATTATGAAAATAGTATGACCTTGTGGACCATCAGGAATTCACAGACCACACTTTTTGAGAACGACTGTGCTTTAGAAATGCTTCCCTTGTAACTGACCTAATAGTAATTGCTGCATGAGGTTAAACCATGACCTTTAACAAGATCAAATTTATAAGCCTAATATAACAGCAGTTGTATTTATATATGGGCCTAATATTAACATAAAAGCATTTCTATTGTAGGTCCTCCCTGATTTTCCACACTTAATTATTTGCTTTGCGAAATTCAAATGTCTTTTTTTTTTTTAAGATTTTATTTATTTATTTGAGAGAGAATGAGAGAGAGAGAGCACATGAGAGGGGGGAGGGTCAGAGGGAGAAGCAGACCCCCTGCTGAGCAAGGAGCCCGATATGGGACTCGATCCCGGGACTCCAGGATCATGACCTGAGCCGAAGGCAGTCAGTCGCCCAACCAACTGAGCCACCCAGGCGCCCAAGTTCAAATGTCTTAAAGACATCAAGCAGTGCTGAGTTATTTGCACTCCCCTATTTTTCTAATTCTTTCTAATTCTGATTCTCTAATAGGTCTGAGGCTATAGCATAGCCTCATAGTCAGCTCAGCAGAAACACAACTATGTTTTATTCATTTGTCTCCCTTGCTCTAGAAGAGATCAATCAACAGTGTTTTGGTCCTTTCACATTCTTTTTCTATTATCAATGCCACCATCTCAACCCTATTTTACACCCTGCCTAATGCAAGTCTGCTCACCAAGCTCTAACCTCTTATCTTTCCATGTTCCAATTCAATAACAAAAACTTAAAAAGTAATAATAATAAATTTAATCATGTTACAATCTGCTCAAAAAGCTTCAGTGGCTCCATATTATTTATAATGGGATTTATAGGTCAATTAACACAAGTGATAAATTAATATCCAATCCGCACAATTAATTGGTAAAAAAAAAAAAAAAGAAAGAAAAAAATGTCCCCACCACTCTCATACCTATCTTCTCTATTCATAATGACAGGGGAAAGACTATAGAATCCAGCAGTATCTGGGCTCTACCTGCTTGAAATACCTGTTGCAGGCAGGGGGCTCTAGCCACATGACCATTTCTCATGGAAGTGCTTCACTTGTAGCTCAAGGGCACTGTCTTTACTATGGATCTGATCACTGCTCTTAAAACTTTCATGTAAATAGGGGGCGCCTGGGTGGCTCAGATGGTTAAGGGTCTGCCTTCAGCTCAGGATCGGGCTCCCGGCTCAGCGAGGAGCCTGCTTCTCCCTCTCCCTCTGCCTCTCTCCCTGCTCATGCTCTCTCTCTCTCTCTCTGTATCTGTGTCTCAAATGAATAAAAACAAACAAACGAACAAACAAACTTTCATGTAAATAAAAATCGCCCTTCCTCAAAATAAGTTTAGGAACTCTGGTCTTTAAGATAAAGCTCGAAGGCCATACAGTTTTTCGAAGTTCTCCACTTCAGTCCCAACAATCATTATCATCCATCTGCCACTATTCTTTCCAAGAGTAATTCTCCATTTTGAACACTGACCCTCAGAACCTTGCTTCTCACAAACAGATGACCACACATGTGCTGTCCCCATGACCTAGGAATGTGTTCTTCCTCCTCTCCATCTGACCCGTCAAGATCCAGCTTAAGCCCCAGCCTTTCATTACATGCCAACCTGCATAGATCACTAGTTCGCCTCTGAATTCATATATCACTTAAGAGCCTTTATCACTCATTTTGGTACTAGATGATGTGTTACATTAAGTTGTAACACAAGTAACCCAAGTAGCAAATTGAGGGAACAGATTAAAACTGCATAAGCCTTTTCTGGGATGCTTGGGTGGCTCAGTCGGTTAAGCGTCTGCCTTCGACTCAGGTCATAGTCCCAGGGTTCTGGGATTGAGCCCCACATCAGGCTCCTTGCTCAGTGGGAAGCCTGCTTCTCCCTCTCCCTTTGCCTGCTGTTCCCCCTGCTTGTGCTCTCTCTCTCTCTGTCAAATAAATAAATAAAATCTTAAAACAACAACAACAACCATATAAGCCCTTTTTTTCCCCAGAAGCTCTCCAAACCTCGTCTTGGGTTTTTAAGGAGGTCTCATTACATAGGCATGATCGATTAAATTACTGGCCACTGGTAACTGAACTCAAACCCCAGTCTCTCTCTCTTCCCCAGATGTCTCAGGAGTGAGACTTAAACTCCAACCCTCTAATCACCTGGGTGGTTCTGCTGGCAAGCAGGCCCCCATCTACGGGGTTTCCCAGAAGTCACTTCACTAACACACTCAGGTGTGACTGAAGGGGGCTTGTTAAGAATAACAAAAGACACCTCTATCACTCTCATCACTCAGGAAATTCCAAGGGTTTTAGTTGCTTTGTACCAGGAATGGGATGAAGACCAAATATATAACTCATACTCTAAGTCACAATACCACAGTGCCTATATAAAAAATGCAATATTTTTAAAATGGAAGAATGGAAAAAAAAAGGGTATTACCTGGGTACAAAACAGAATCATAAGCATAAAGAGCTTTAGTGAGTAGCCTGGTGTAGCAGAGATGGATAGTTAAACATTAATCTGTGCTTCTTCTTCCCAAGTACAGAGCAGTCCCTGGGAGACAGCCGTTCAGCCAGGAGCTACAAGCCCACAGTGGATGTGAACAGAAATGATGCATGTGACTTCCAGGCCAGCATTTTTAGGAACAGTGTGCCTTCTCTATTCTCTGTCTCAGTCTGCCTCTGGATGCAGAGGACTCAAGGCTCTAGAAGAGGACAGTAGCAACATGACAGAAGATGCCTACACCCATGAAACAGCCAATGGAGAAAAACCACCTGCTGTTCAGCAACACCTATGTTGGACTATTACATGGGTGATAAAGGTCTAGTATATTAAGCCACTGAAATTTTAATGTTTGTTATAGCAGCTAGCATTAGTCTATTAATACACGAAGGGTCATCTAATTAGTTAGTGAAAGGGCTGAGACCAGAATCCATGTTTTCTGACTCTTCTTACAGTGTATCAAACTATATTCTGATATGTATTTATATTTCTAAATGATTGCAGTGGTGTTTAGGCAATTTATCTTGGTTATTCTTAGATAAATACTATTAATCCCCAACCAAGCCTTATCTACACTTACCATTTACAATCATTTTCAAACAAGCAGAACATGGTTTTCTGGAAAAATAGAGATCACAGTTTTTCAGCCTTGACCCATGTTTTATAAGAGCAATTTTTCCAGCATGTAAATCTTCACTAGAACAGTGGAGACCAACAATTTTCATGTTTTTCACCACCACAAGACCAGTTCTCTTCACCTACATTAAAATACAAAATAATAATGTATTAGTTATAACATCTGTTAAAAAAGAAACAGGCCCCAAATGGAGTCACTTGTGCTAAGTCCACATTATCAGACTGAGACTTAATACCTAATTGCAGTTTTGGCCTCTCCCAGGAATATAACCCTAACCAGTCAGACTGTAATTTCCTGCTGAGCTAGTGAGGAAATCCACCTGATAAACTCCTGTAGTCCCCCAAAAGAAGGTGACCTTGCCTGAATCAATCCACTTTTTGCTAGCAACTTCCTTTTCCTGCCCCTTCTGCCTATAGAATCCTCCCCTTTTTGCAGCTCTTCAGAGCCCCTCTCTATCTACTAGATGGGAAACTATATGACTCATGAATCATTGAATAAAGCAATTAGATCTTTAAGTTTACTCAGCTGAATTTTGTTTAGTTTTGTTTTTTAACTGATTTGGTGGCAGCATTTGGATCCAAAGGAAAACTGATGGCTTCGGGGACAACAAGAAACACAAGCATGGTACCTGTGAACCCTTTGAGCTCTCTGTCCTTCTTGCCATATCTAAGGGCCATAGGTAAGTTCCTTTTGGTTCTGAGCTCTGCTGTCTTTGCACTGAGCTCCTTATCTGATTGGCTTTCCAGTCCAAAATTCCCCATTTGATTGGAACTCCCATTCCTTGATTTAGCCCCCAGATTCCACATTGCGGAATCCCAGGCTATGGTCCCCATTTCTTGAGGTCTGCTGGTTCAGTCCTCTCCCCAGGCCCAGATTCCATGTTGAGAACTGGTAGTGGTGTGCACAGGGCCTTCTCTTGGCCAGGCTAAGGTACCATCTCTTGATTACTGCTGGTGTGTTAAGGTGAACATGTCTCTACTTTGTGTAGGTAAAGGCTATTGCTAATTGCAGTCGTGGGAGACCAAAAGCCACAAAATTGGTGGACACAGGTTGAGCACTTAAAAGCTATTACAGCGATCACCACCTAACTCCTGTGTTAGGATAAGTTGGTCATAGAATGGGTTAGATTGACACTAGGACACCCACCAACCTCAAGAAAATTTTGATGCAACTAGGTACAGGGTAAAACACCACACAACTCCCAACCCCAACCCAGCAGCATGTCCCTCTTGGGTATTAGTTTGGCTCTGAGACACCTACTTGGCTTAAAAAAAAAAAAAAAAAAAAAAGAGGGGCGTGACTCAGTTGGTTAAGCATCCAAGTCTTGGTTTCAGCTCAGGTCATGATCTCAGGGTCGTGAGATCGAGCCCTGCATCGGGCTCCACGCTGAGTGTGTAGTCTGCTTGTCCCTCTCCCTCTGCTCTCTCTCTCATAAATAAATAAAATCTTTAAAAAAAAGAGAGAGAGAGAGAGATATCTTTAAATTCCAAAACATACCACCTTCTGGCATACTTACGTAAGTCTAAAAATTATAATCCTGGGAGCTATAAATATCTACAAAATGACAAAATCTTACTAATAAGCCTTTTTGTGTCCTCAGAAGTTGCCTTGGTAACAATCATCAGGCTGGGGGCCCCAAAATATGGCCAGACAGAAATGTGGGTTGCACCTCCTTTACCACTAGCTACGGCTGGATAGAAAATATGGGTTAAACTCCCTTTCTGGCTAGGGCCCTACCAAACTGCTATAAGCCCTCAAGTAAATAACAGCCTAGAATGCAATGGACATTAGGAGGAATGGTCCAGTTAGATAAGATCATTCAAAAAGCAAGGGTCCCCAGGGTGCCTGGGTGGCTCAGTTGGTTAAGCGACTGCCTTCAGCTCAGGTCATGATCCTGGAGTCCCAGGGAGCGGGGAGCCTGCTTCTCCCTCTCCCCTCTGCCTGCCACTCCTCCTGCTTGTGCTCTCTCACTCTGTCAGATAAATAAATAAAATCTTAAAAAAAAAAAAAAAAAAAAGCAAGGGTTCCCAAGTCAAACAAACAGAATGGTATATACCTGTTTTAACTGGCATATAGAAGCCTCCAAAAGGCTTCAAAATTCCAAAATACCTTCATTGAAAGATTTGTTGCAAATCACTCATGAAAAATTAAAGACACAAGAGGCACATAAAACAGGACTATAAAACTGAGGTAACTCCTACCATTACCCTCTATCCTCCTTTAATTAAGTATTCATTCTAGTAATCCTCTGTCTGAATTTTCTTTCCACTCTGAGGAGACTACAAGACCACAAACAAAAGTCCACCAAGTTAGGGGCCTTATAGACACCCCATATCTAGCCTTGAAGGAGGGCTGACAGGGCTCCGAGGGAGTGTCAGGTAAATTGCTACCTTAGTCCCTTAAACGGCCAAGGGAAACTAAAATTAAAATGAATGGAAATCCTTGCCAACTTTTGGTAGATACCAAAGCTATACCCTATTTTACACCTCACTAGGAGTCTGCAGATGGGATCCTAGGAAAAACTGGCTGAAGCTGGCTAAGGGAGAGAACTCTTATCAGAGTCAGCTCTCTGGATCTCTGTCTACAGTAACTGGTAGAGACAGAGAGAGAGAAAAAATCTTTTGAACCCTCTTTGGGGATGCCTTTAAGTCCAAGGAGTTATTTAATATTGCCAGGAATATTTACTGTTTGTCTCAGCTGAGAATTGACACGATATTTAAAACGATTTTTTTTAAGTAGCTTGTCTGTGGTCAGAAGGCCAGATTAAAAGCTGATATTAAAGCCTGATCGGAGTTTTTCCTAGGCATTCTCCCCTAAGCTAAAATAAAAACTATGAACCTAGACGGAAAGAAAAAAACCTTCTCACACTTTTGTGGAAGGATTTACTAAAACATTATAACGATAAGTAGCTCTAAATCCAGAACACAGAAGTCTTTTGATTTCCATCTTAGTTGGAAATATTTTCCTTGATATAAAAAAGCAAATTGAAGATAATGTGGTTAGATGGGGGGACCAACCTATGGTGTCATTTAAGTTACAATCCAATTCCTTGAGAAATTAAAAGCAACTGTTCTTCTCTTACAGATCTTTGCAAAACCAGAAATGCAGCTCTAGAAACAATTCAAGATCCACCTATTCTTTTTACCAATCCCCAAACCTCCCATATTTATCTCAAAAGGCTTATAAGTAGTTTTGCAGGAACTTAATGTTCTTTCCCTGTGCCTTTGAGATGTACATGTTTTACCAGGTCTTCCCCTGGAACTCTAATCTAAACCATACCCAATTCCTAAGACTGAAGAAAAAAAACTGTGTGTGGCAGGGTTGGGGTGGGGGGTGCTTTTCATGAATACAAACTGCTACAGAAGCTCCCTTGCCCAAAATTTAGTTCACAGCTTTCATAAAATGCTTGTCAAGGACAAATACAAATCTTTTTTTTTTTTTAAAGATTTTATTTATTTATTTGAGAGAGAATGAGAGAGAGCACATGAGAGGGGGGAGGGTCAGAGGCAGAAGCAGGCTCCCTGCTGAGCAGGGAGCCCGATGCGGGACTCGATCCAGGGACTCCAGGATCATGACCTGAGCCGAAGGCAGTCACGTAACCAACTGAGCCACCCAGGCGCCCGACAAATACAAATCTTAAATGTCTTCTCCACAAATATTATAGAAAAAGCCTTAACCGCCTGAACAGGTAAATTTAACTTATTCCAACTGTTCTTTTCTAAACCAGTGAGTTTTGCATTATCATACCTGTCTCATGGCTAAAATTTTATTTTTATTTTTATTAATTGATTTCTTTTCATGGCTAAAATCTTCAAATGAAAGCTCTAAGGTCTCCGTTTGCATCTCCCTATATGTTTATGTGCATCTATGTAAATGTGTTGTAGATGTGTGGTATTTTCTACCTCTGGATAGTATTGCCAAAATTAATTTGTAAAAAAGTTCCATTTAATTGGCTTAAAGAAAATTAAGCACTTAAATGGATTATTCATAAAATTCTCCAAAATATAATAGAAACTAACCCAAATGCGTTTCAGGTTCACATAATCTGGAAAAATATTCAGTATTAAGGCTAATTTAAGCTTGTTGGTTTAATTAAAATAGACATGCCTTTAGAGTTATCAACACTGAATGTAATGCAGTCATACAATTTTATTCTACCTGGCTTTACTAGTCAAAAAAGTTCATGTTATCTCTGTCACAAAATCTGACAGGTAGAAAAATAACTTGGAATGATGAAATTTCATAAGCAATCTAAATATAATTGTTCAAAATAAGTGAACTAAATAAATGTGAGATAAAAGTTTTTAGGCAAACTTTTTAAACAATTTCCCCAAATCTTATTGGGAACCTGAAACCTTAAAGTTTGCTAAGTTAAATTAAATGATGGATAGTCACTGAATATCTAGATTATTTCCAATAACATAAAAGACTGAAACAGTAATTACTGAACATAGGTTTATCTACTTTTTGGCTTCCTTTTACAGAGGAACTAAAAATTTTAGGGTTTGTTATTAAACATGTTTTGTGCTACCCTGAAAAATTTACTATGAGAAGGCATATATTTCTAGAAATTATGAGAAGTATTTATAAATTTGCCAAGTCACAGAAAGCTAATGTAAAAGATAATTCCCAATGCTTACTTATTTTTATTAGAAATTAAGGTTTTTAAGGGTTACACATTGTAATATATTTAATTAAAGCTACTAAAAAAAAAAACCTCCATATGCAAGGAGAGTAGGATGTGTATTTCAGTAAAAGAAGGCATTAGGAATTAGGAATGCATTTTTTTGTTGAGGAAAAAGAAAGTAATTTTGTCCTAAAGTGAGACTGGTTATTTCAGAATGGGAAAGAGGAAAGACATAGGACAAAATCTGAAGGGTTACTAAAAGGGTTGTAGAAGATTTGTGGAAAAGGAGTCTTTGGAAAGGAATACTGTGTGTGATCAAGCTGGCTAAGATTAAAATAAATTAAATTAAGGGTTTTTTTAAATGAATGTATTTTAATATCAAAAGTAAGCTGGCACAAAATTAAAATTTAGTTTTCTCTCTGTTAAAAGGATAAAGTTTTCTTGGACTACTGGTCTGTTCTTGATAAGAGATGGTAAAAGGTTTTTCTTTACCT